GCTCTCGATGAGACGGTTCTAATGATCGTATTTCCATCGAAATGTAATCATTAGGTCGAAAGTTATTTCATTTAACAGTATTTGTATGAGTCAAAGGTTGTTCTATAATATTAAAAGGTATAATATTTTGTGTTGGAATGGATTTAGCATTACTTGATGCATTTAAACACTCATTATTAAGATGAGCTTGCATTCTTAAAGGAACAACCCTGTTAAAAACTTTAGAATAATAATTGTATTTTACAGAAGGATGTAAACTTGGTTTAATATAATTATTTAAAACTGAATTTTGTATAAAAATTGTCTAATGGTTTCAAATAGCTCCCTTTTTTAAAAAAAACCAAAGAATTTATTGAAATTGTACTTCAAAAAGTATAAAAAGTAGCAAGTTTTTTTTTTTTAAAGAGCAGAAAACTAATAAACGTTTTTTTATTATTAAAAAGATATATTTACATATTCAAATTTAACTTTCGTCATTCATCTAAAAATTTCTTTGATTTGATTGGTCAATACAAAATTAACCAAAATTGCCCCACGTGATTTAGTAAATTATTTCACCCTCCACTTTTCCATTATTAGGAGTCCCGTGAAGATTGATTTTGTGAACCCAGATTAATCAATCTCAAATTTTGGACTCCGAGACTTTTAAAAAAAAAATGGGCATTTCCAATTCAGACTCGTGTACACGCGTTGATGTATAACTGCTCAATAAAAATCAACATTTCAATATATTCGTGTTAAGTATAAAGTTCATTTCGCTGTCTTACATTTCATAAATTTAACATTAACTAACGACACTTTTTTCATGATGTTTAATCAAAGGACGAGTTCAGTTGCTAAAGGAAATGACTACGAAGATATGATAAAAAGAATGTTAAAAAGTTGTAATATCGAATGTTACAAGATTAGGTGAGATATTTCACTAAGTAATGCTTAGTTATACATATCTGAAGTTACGCTGCCACTAGGATAATTGGATAAAGAACTGGAAGCGCAACGTGGCCATGGTTTGCGAAAGTTACCAGTCAAGTAACCAGACTTGGCGTATGGTGGACAGCCTACTGTGAACGTCCTTCTTTGTTTAATTTCTGAAAGCTACCGTGTTTAAGTCCGGAGTTGTGGTGAATAGGATATGTGTATAGATGTAACCGTGTCTAATTCCGGGGCATTTATCTTAATAATTATGACGCATACTTACAATTTTTTTTTTTTTAGATTGTCCAATGGTGATGGGGGAGTTGACCTAATGGGGAACTTTGCAGGATATCTCCTGTTAATTCAGTGCAAAAACTATGGTTCAGACACGAAAGTGACAGTTGATGATGTACGTGAATTTAGTGGAATAATGGCGAAATACCCAGAAAAGTCGATTGGAATTTTTGTGACCCCTTCTAATAATTATACTCGGAGGGCAATCGAGGAAGCACAAAATTCTCAATTTAAGATTATTTTGACAGATACATTAAATATTTATCATGACATTAGGAATAATATAGATGATGATTTCACAGATGACAATTATATTCGATTTCATGTTGATGGAAAACTGTCAAATAACTATATTATATATATAATATCAATACTTACATTAGCAATTTTATTAATTTTAATAATTATATTTCTCTTAAAATAAATCACTACTTAGTATTCGTTAATTTAGTTAATGTCTTAACCTGTCACATTTTATAACTAATAAATATGCGTAGCAGTCAGTTTCGAAATTCTCCGTAAGATTGTGCATATATGTACAGTACAAACAGGGTTTGGAATTTTGTATGTACTAGATAAAATTAACACTGTATTTTATATTAATTATTATAATGTACTTAACTGTACTGATTATTGTACTCAAATCTTTTATCATCATGATTAACAACACAATTTCATCTAGATTGGCCTTCATCAAACATGCTTTGCATTGTTTTTGATGTCAAACCCTTCAGATTCCTTATCAACTTCTTCATTAGCGTTGATTAACTCCAGAATCATAGAACCAAGTTAAATCTACTACAATTGAAAACTAATGGATTAATCTAAAATTATTACGTCTCAAAATCAGATGAGAAAGATGATGCTAATGTTCTTATTAAGTTAATTGAGAATAAATATCAAAAGAACGTAGAAACATAAATAAGATGCCATTTAATGGTTGATTATAATGCTGATACATTAAATAGCATAATGAATTGTTAAAACGGTAAGACAAAACCAAATGCAGATAATTGCAAAATAAAGAAATTATTTTCTTGAAAGAAGGATTAATTTAAATAATTTTCCATTTTCTGATTTTGAATCAAAATAATTTAAATTTATAAATTTTAGTATCTTAAAATAATCCAAATCATCAAAAATAATATTATTAGCAAAATTTGTAATATCTAAATTTCATTAAGATGAAGATTATAAAGACTTTATATATTGATTTATAAATTATATCAATATAAATAATAAGACAAATATTATTAATGATTCATAAAAGGTGAAGTAAAAAAATCAAACTATAAAAATTTAATATTTATGATTAATATAAAAGTTATAATAGCAATAATTGCATTTTTAAAAAAAATTATTTTATATATTTGAAATGCAAATATTATTTTTAGCTAAATTTTACTAAAAATTGAAATAGTTAAAAGCTATTAAAATTATAATACAAATTATAATAAGTATAAGATGTGTTTTTATTATTCATATAGAAATTCAGTTTAAATAAAGTTGTATTAATTTAAAAATCATTTTTACTATCAATTTACAAATAAAAAATTTTAAAGTTAGATTATATATAAGAGTATTATATTTTTAAGAAATTTGAAGATTAATTAATATATAGAAAAACAAATTTTTTATTAAGAATTAATAATAATATTAGAAATATTTATTTAATTTAATTTTATTAAATTATTATTAATATTATTAATAAACTTATATTAAATAATTCTATAGGTAAAAAATAATAAAAATATTTTATCTTTATTAAAAATAAATCAAGGTTACAATTTTTTTAGTTATATATAAGGTTGTTGGATGAAATCAAGAGTTTAGACAGACGTTTTAATGGTAAAAATAAAACTTGATTAAATTATATTAAAACTTTATTAAAAAATTTGCGAAATTTGAAAAAAAGTAAAACTATATCAAAGCTTATAAAAATAGTGAAACTATATCAAACACTTAGTAAAAATTTAGCAAAACTAAAGGTTTAACCATTTTGCTAAATCCAAAATGAGTTTAGACAAGCAATCTTAGTTATATATTATTTCCATTAGGATACAGCCTACTATTAAAATAAATTCTAAGAATCTTACTATAAAAGGAAATTTTATGTTATATTATTATGATTTTTTTTTATTTTTAGTTAATTATTCAATAGAATTTAAGAAAATCATAAGATAAGATTACATATATAAAAATAATTTTTAATCAGTAACCTATCTTAGTAGTTAGTAAGCAGTATCCTTTTTTATTATAGTAATATATTAAGTTTATTTAGTTTAGTAAATTTTTTTATATAATAAAAGATTTAAAAAAGATTATTTAATAAGATTTTTCAAAAATCTTTTTTTTTAATAATTTAATAATTCTATTAAAATTAAATAAAATAAAAAATAAATTAATAAATCTTAAAAAATTGATCAATTAATTAATTAATTAATTTTAAAAAAAATAAATATATAAAAATACAAAATTTATAAATAGATAAATGATAAATTATAAAAAAAAATTAATTTAATAAATTAATAATATATTCTAACTTTATTTTATATTTTCAAGTTTATAAATTTTTAATACATATATATAATTATTATTTATACTTTATTATCAATGCAAAATATTTGATAATTTTAAAATATAGTTTTAAAATATTAGATAAATAATATAATCAATATCAAATATTTTAATAATATAAATAAAATAACTATTAAAAAATTATACAAAAGATTTATTTTTTCAAAATCTTTTAAATATATTTTTTACATAATTTAATAAGTAATTAAAGGTCACCTGATATAATAAATCATATGATATTTACTTTGTCATATAATCTACCAAATCTGCCAACTACTGATCCTAGCAGATATATAATCTTTTAGATATATTAAATATATCATATATACTAAATATGTGAGAAATAGCAAATATGACAAAATTTATTTTTTATTTATTTTTATATTATATTATTTTTATATTATCAAATTTTTTATAAATAGAGTAGCTTTAGAACTTTATTAACAATAATAGATTAATGGATTTTTACAAATAATTATTTAGTTTTATCATTAACAAGATAATTAATAGATTACACTTATATGCTAACAAATACACCTATAATAATTCTTTTATTTAATTTATTCAACTTATAATTACACCTTATTATTAAAATACATTTGATTTATAAATCTTCAGAAGCTCTCTGTAAATCTCATATTATAAATCTTAAAGTTAAATCCCTTTATTAATCTTGCATTAATACCAATTTTCAGTCATTAGTATCATAAGATAATAATAATATTATTATATATTAACTAACTTTAATTCTTTTGATAAATGTAAAATCTAATAAAATTTACATTATTTAGAAAATATAAAATAATATTATAAATAATTTTGTAATACAAATTTAGATAATTTTTTATATACAATATATGCTTTTTATTATATAATACAGTAACACCTCTATAAATGCACGCTCTATAAATGCACACCCTCTCTATATGCACACTATAGCTTGGTCCCAAG